TATCTCCAATGTGGCGACACATCCTGGAGCCTGTCTGAGGATGATCCTCTTCAGCTCAGAATGCGCCTATGATTACGCACAAGCGTGACGCGTCAACCCGGTCCCACAGTAAGACCGGGTTGGAACTGTTCAGGTTTACGCAGATAATCTTTACATAGAATTGACTTACAGATGTAAAATTAATACAGTAACATATAAAGCATTTTATTTAAATATCCATTCATTATTTTACAAGCACAGAGAGCTGCATCAGATGGATGGAAGAGCCGCATGCGGCTCCAGAGCCACGGATTGCCGACCCCCGACATAGATATAGGGAGAGAATCTCATTATGTCACGTTGCTGCATCGATGCGGAATCATGCATGGCTGGATCGCGATGCATCTTAGAATCAATCATTTTTCCCACCTCTAGAGGAGAGTGCTGTAGCCTTTTAGCTGGAAGCTAACCGGAGCCTGGGGCTAACATCACCACCCGGTGGAACACTAGCGATATGAAGGTGGGTTGGTTCACCGGCACGTGTCAGAGTCAGCCCGCTAAAAATGATTAACCACACCGAGGAAACTCACGTTCACGTTTGAAAGCAGTGCTGATTCCAGAAACCTCAGCACAAAGTGCGTTCATTGCTCTGAGCCAGCATGACAAACAAGGGAACGGCGCTGCTAACTCAGTTCGGGTGTTGCTTTCCATCCTAAAGGTCTATGTAGGGGGCGGGCGTATTACGTGAACAGACCCATCTGATTGGCCGCATCTCAGAAGGCCTACATTTGATTGGTCAAATAATACTTCCGCGTAAAAAAAGAGCTGGTTTACAAAAAGCTGATGTATGACACGGATGGAAATGTTGAACCAAGCATTTATCGCCTTTTTTGACATGCTTTGCGATGGGCCTATTGCACGTCCTGTTATCCTGATGACGATAATTTTTCGATATATTGTGCAGCCCTAATCAACACTCAAGTAAAGACTATTGCTGGAGTCTAAACAAAATGCATTAAATGCATGAATACGCTTCTCAAAATGATTCCTCATCAAAAAGGACATAAAGATTCTTTAGGTGAAAAAAATATACTTGAACTACATTATTGACTTGAACATCAAATTTAAGCTGAGAATCATAACACCCAAATTAGACACAACATCCTTTGCATCATATGAGACTGAGTAACTACAGGAGCACCACTTGGTGCAAACATAATCATTTCAGTCTTAGACTCATTAATCTGGAGAAAATTACAACCCATCCACAATTATTAACCTCACGAAGACAACTCAGAGCTAAATCCTTAGCTTTAACAGAAGCATAGACCTGACAGTCATCAGCATAAAGATGGAAGTCAAGCTCATATTTCCAAAAGATGGCCCCAAGAGGGAGCAAATATAAATTGAAAAGCCGAGGACTAAGTACAGAGCCCTGTGGACCCCATATTTCAGGGGAGCATCACTTGAGCTGAAGCTACCAATCTTAACAGTCATATACCTGTCAGACAGGTTGGAACTCATCCAGAAGAGCGCTGAACCAGAGACCAAAAAAATTCTCCAGTCGATTGAGAAGTATAACATGATCAAGAGTATCAAAAGCAGCGGTCAGATCTAAAGAGTAATAAAACGACTGTCACCCACATCAGTATATTGGTAAATATCATTGAACACTCTCACAAGCGCAGTTTTCTTAAATTTGTTATCTAACTGGTCTGACAATAGCTTAAAACATTGACAGATAAAAATTGATTGGGCCCGGACTTTTTTAGACCCTGCTGGGGTCACTCAGTGATAAACCCATTGACAACCCAACTCTGGTAATTGGCAGCTCCATAGTCAGAAACATGGCAGAGACTCCAGCAACCATAGTCAAATGTTTACCTGGGGCCAGAGCGGGCGACATTAAATCCTACCTGAAACTGCTGGCTAAGGATAAGCGTAAATACAGTAAGACTGTTAATTACGCTGGTGGTAACATACCTGCAAACTGGGGTGTGGAAAAAGGTGACAACTACAATGCCCCCCTCCCGTCTGTGGGGTTAGTAGTGACCTGCTCTGGCATTTACATACTTCTTGTTGGAATAATTAAAATAAACTCATCAACATGATTTTTTGCAAAATGCTAACTATTTTCTACCATGACGTTTAGACAGTTTCTGCTCAGAGAAACGAAAAAATATGCCTGACAAAAATGATTAGGGATCATCATATATTTTTAAACATTTTATGAGACTATTTCACACTCATGTTACAGCCCCCTGTATTTGGGCTGATGAGTTTATCTCCCTCTGTTCATCCTGTGAGGTGAACCCCATGATCCAGCTAAATTCCCCCACCAGAGGGAGCCATTATCTGGAACCCTTTGGCCTGCTGCTGCTCCCCACAGGGCAGCTGGTGCACATCAGCTGATTAAGAGGTCTGCACAAACAGTTGAAAAGCCAGACTGAGAGCAGCTGGAGAAAGAAGCGCAGTGAATCGAGAGGTTTTGAAGGTTTTGATTACTTTATTTGTTCTTGTTTTCTTTTTGTTTGGTTATCCTATTCGGATAAACAGGAGGGATTATGTTATGGAAATGTAGGGCTGGGGGTAAACGATTATTTTGAAAACGATTATTCTGACGATTATTTTATCGAATCGTCGACTATTCTAATGACTATTTATACAATTAATCTAATGATTATTTTTCTATTGCACAGTTAATAAAACCAAAAAATCTCTAATAAATTCCTCCAAAAAATTGATTAATTGTTACTGTAAGAGAATAAACACTACAGGCCTCCCATTTTGTATAACACTGCTTTTATTGTGTTGGTTGGTTATGTTCTGGTGACGTGTAGAACTTGGGAGTGCAGGCTGCTGCCTGAGAGGTGGTTGGAGACGGAGTGTCTCCATGCTGCTTTGTTTTGGTCACTTATGTGCGTGAGGCGAGTGGTGTTACGATTCTTCCTGGGGAGTTTGGCTCGTGTGCAAAAAGGAAGGGACAATAACGGGATTTAAAAGTTAAAATGATGATCAGGTTTATTTACAACTACAAAAAAACAAATCTTTCCATCCACAGGTTGGGAGTAAAAAAACTAATTCTGCCTGTGGGGAATTAAAACAAAAGTACAAATAAGTAGGGATGTCCCGCTGGGCAAAGATTACAGGGTTCTGGACCAAAATAAGAATCTCCAAAGTTCCAAACTCTAAACTGGGTGGTTAAACCAAACTCAAGGTGATATTTTAAACTAAACCGAAAACCCACAACACTCTAAATGTAATAGAAGGGAGATTTTATTACATTTAGACATTTATTTATTTGTACTACAAATTATTATTTTTTATATGTGTTCAACATGTTTAAATATCGCTTGTTTAATTAACCAACATTTCTAGTGTACAGCGCCTTGTTTGGTTGTAATGCCTTGTGAATGCGCTTTATAAATAAAATTGGATTGGATTGAAAAAAGATCAACTCTAAACCAAAACGTAACAGCTTATCCAAACGCAAGAAGCTGTTAGCGAAAATGCTAACAGTAGCTTTACCAATGTTAAGTTCAAGTTGCCAAGTTTAAATAAACCAAAAACACCCAGCAGCAAACAGACCAGCATGGAGGAGAGACTGCTACCACCAAAACAGCTCTCTTAATGTCTGAAAGAAGCTCCTTTATGAAGGGAAAAACGCTCCCGGTGATTTTCTGCATCTGCGATAGAGACGGAGCAGCGCATTTGACCCCGGAAGTTGTTGTCTGTTGCCGGGAGACGAAGACGGGCAACACAGGAAAATAATCTAGTAGTGGACGGACGTTGTTCCGGGTCTTCGGTATTTGGCGGAGATGTTAGTGAAGGCGGAGAAGAGGGAGAACTAGAGGAAAAACAGGCAGATTCCACCTCTATTTACAAACTCCTGGGGACGCAACAAGTGGGCGCGGTGCGTCGACTACCGGATCTGACGTCGACGAATTTTTAGAATCGAGCCGTCGACGTCATCGAGGCTTCGCTACAGCCCTATGGAAATGTTATGTTTATTATTAACTGAATGTATTATTCTATGTCTAAAAGCACACACACACACACACACACACACACACACACACACACACACACACACACTTATCTTTGTTATAAATAAACTCTGAGAGCAGAAACTCGGGGCAGTTGCCTTGAGCTTCTGCCCCTGATTGCAGTTTGGTGACTTGTCTGCTTGTTGTCTCTCCTCTCTCTCCAGCTGCAGGTATTGGGTTATTGATAAAATCCCTAACAGTCATGTAATCATTAGTTTAGAAATATAGAATTAAACTAATTTTTATAAACTATATTCTTGACTCTGTCTGGATTAATATGAAGTGTGTGTTCCTAAGGTCGTATTAAATCAAATATTCAAAGACCAATAAGATTGATCATTTATAATTAGATGGAATATCACATCTTATTGATCATTCAGTAAAAGTAACCACTTCCATCACGTTACACCATCAGCATGGCTCTACACTTCATCCTGCAGCATCTGGACTCCTGGGTACCTACACCAGGATCCTGCCAGAAGCAGAAACAGCTGGAGTTAGCAGGTCAGATCCACGGTGTGTAAAGTCCACTCATGGAGGGAACAGGAAGGGAAACCACTGAAGAACCAGGATAAACAGACCCGAGGAAACATGGACGGAGACACAGCGCTGCCCCGTGGCCAGGCGGGAATGTGGAAACGGACCTGTGGCTATTCCAAACACAGGCGCCATCTTGTTAGCGGCCAGAAGCAGAGTATGGGTGGGATGAGGCTGGCCCATACTCTGGAACAGCAGCTGCTATGTGTGGACTCTCATGTGATTTGTTTATTTACATTTGTAGTAAACCTTTCTCCACACTCATCATGACTAAATGATTTAGGTTTCTTCTGGACTTTCCTGCACGAGTCTACATGTTGCTTCACTCTAACACATTTCTTATGAACCAAACAGCCTGAAGACCTTATTGCTGGATGACTTGTCTCCCTCACGTGTCTCTGGAGAGACCACTTGTGAAGAACTTGTTGACAGACTTACCATCTGACTCAGAAGACCTGCTCTCATTCCAGTCATCATCTTCATCTCCAGTTTCAGACCCAGAGTCTGACAGCTCAGAGTCCAGATTCACATCATCATCATCTTCATCATCTCCACTAACTTCAGTCTCTGAAGAATCAGATGTTTGTTCATGAGGGTTCAGATCTGGGTTCCTGCTAGTTCCTGCTCCTCCACCAGTTTCTGCTGCCATCTGGTCAGCTGAGCTGCTGGTTGGAACATCTCTGTCTTCTATTTGCTGCTGATGAAGCTGTGAGACCAGAGGTTTCTCTTCATCATCCTCACACTTTATAGAAACAGCAGTAACAGGAAACCCGACAGCTTCAGTCTCCTCCTTCAAACAGAGATGCTCTCCCTCCAGACTGGTCCAGAGCTCCTCCTGTTCCTCCTTTATGTGGAGGTGTTCTGGGTCCTGCAGGTCCACACCAGCACTCTGTTCTTCAGGAGCTTCTTCTTTAACCAGCGCCAGCTGTGGAACATCTGTAGGAAACACAGACACATGATGTTACAGACCACCATACCTTTATATTTACACCATGAGTGATACTGGCTACATGATGTGGGAAAAAGGAACAAGAACATGAACTTCATTTAGATAAAAACTGATTTCTACTTTAGGAACAATAAAAACTTCCATCACAATCAGCGTGTTTGTTTCTGACCAGAACTTCTAAGCCTCCTACTCACAACCCAAGCTTTAGATCTGAAGCTTATGTGAGGAGAAATGTCTCCAAGATAAAATCAGCAACTATTCAGTCAAAAGGAAAATGAATAAACACTTAGATGTAGCTGCTGTCAGTAACAATCTTTCACTTTTAAGCTCTCAGCAGGCTAGAGCACTACAAAGCAAAGGAATCTTACTAATTAGCATTTTGGGAGATTTATTGTTATTATTATTATTATTAGTAGTAGTGGGTTACTTAGTGACTGAGCAGGGGGCGGAGCCTGTTGTTTTCTACTCATTGTATTATTTTTCAGCGTTTTATTGTGATTCCTTTCGTGACCTCGGTCTGGGACACGTGCTGTATGAATAAACTTGGTTCTTCTTCCACCACAGAGAAAGGCTGCTCTTCCAGCATCATGAACTTCCTTATGGTCCGGTTATTAGCTGAGCCTTCTGACGCTCATACAGACGGGTGTTGGTGAGCGTAGCTGCGTCTGACTGGGAGGTGTTGATCTCTGCAGCGATCCCTGGAAACTCACCTCACTCCACCCAGACTTTGTTCTTTACGTCGTATTAAACCAGCTGTAATCAGCTTCCCCAGGAGCTGAAGCTTTTCATTGCAGGACTCAAAGCTTACATCACTCTCGCAGACGGAGTTAAAGTTAGGCGGACATGTTGTTTTACATTGTTGCTGCTGTCCTGCACAGCATGAAGGAAAAGGGGAAGAACCCCAAGTGCTGCACACAGGGTTCACACAGGTGTTGCTGGTATGATCAGAACATCCCAAACTAACACCAACGTAGATACACAATAAACAACTTGTATTAAGTACTGATGAGCTATCTGCAGTGGAACAGGACCAGCTGGCATCCTCACACCAAAAGGAGGAACGGGTGTCTTTTATAAACCAGCCAGGCACTAACTGGTGTGTTTCCATTACCGAAACTTCCCAGTATGACCGTCTCCACTTCACCGGAGCCAGCCGAACCGGTCGTTTTCCAGACCTTTTGAGAGTCTTTGCAGGTTCTGTGGCCTCACCCAGATCACCCGCGGGCAAACCGAGTTCTAACCAGAAGCATCTGTCAGCATTCATTCTGGACAGTTTTACTTATTTATGCTTCTTTGTGAGAAATGTCCTCATGTCCCCATGTCTGTGGAGGGATCAGACATGGACACTGCTTATTATGGGATAGTAATGGCACTGACTCCTCCTCCAGCTTCGACAAGCCTGTAGTTTCACTTTGGTTCGTTCGGTCTTTTATTTTCTAACTTTGTTGACAACCATGTCGGTCACGTCCACCATGTGTGCAGCAGAGCAACCAGGAAAACGTGGAACGGACTTCAGCAGACGGAGTCATTTCTAATGAATCAAGTGGAATTCTTTGAGAACAATCGAAAGAGCAAAAGGTGAACTAAATGTGTGTGTGTGTGTGTGTGTGTGTGTGTGTGTGTGTGTGTGTGTGTGTGTGTGTGTGTTCCAAATGCATACTTTTAAAAAGTGGGAGGGGCATTCCCTTCTGACATAATGGTTGTGACATCTATGAACCACCTCCACTCAGTCAGCCAATTCAGTAGTTTGCTCGTAGTTTAACTCTTGATCAGGGATTGAAGCAAAAAATTATCATCTGACTGAAAATTATTGTGTGTGTGTGTGTGGGGGGGGGGGGGGGCTCACATTGTTTACACACAGCCACTATTCGGGTTTTGATTGGTTTTAAGGTCAGTATTCTTGTTACTGAAACATTTGGAATAACCCGTTCACACACACAGTGTTTAAAGTGTGGGTGTTGAGATTTCTCTGAGGTAAAAAACAGTGTTTTCCTTACATTGGCGTAGCCGTGGCGGCCCACCACGGCTGAAATCCCAGCGCCACGCCTACAAGATCCCAAGTTTTATTGATTTTTTTTTCTTTCGTGCCGTTTCCCCAAGAAGCAGCAGGAACTACTCTGTTGTTGCTTATGATCACAGCCGGCAGGCAGCAAGGAGGAGGAGGCAGGGTGGTTACAGCTAGGGATGAGCCGGATACTCATTTCAGACGAGTATCGGATAAAGCAGAAGGAAAATCCTCATTGGGTAACTGACTGTCTTCACGCTCTGTGATTGGCCAGACACATAGAGCGCCCGCCCCTCCCTACACACAAAACTGCAGCCGGGAGCTCAGTCCGTCCGGCCCACCCACGCACGCACGCACGCACACACACACACACACACACACACACACACACACACACACACACACACACACACACACACACACACACACACACACACACACACACACACACACACACACACACACACACACACACACACACAGTAACGGATCTCTCTGTGCTTGCTTCACTGTTGCTCATGTTTCTTCAGAACTCCCTAGGTTTTCTTCAGCTCACATCTTTTTCAGTTTAAGGTTTAAAGTAGGGCTGCACAATATATCGAAAAATTATCGTCATCGGGATAACAGGACGTGTGATAGGCCCATCGCAAAGCACGTCAAAAACGGCGATAAATGTTTGGTTCAAACATTTCCATCCGTGTCATACATCAACTTTTTGTAAACCAGCTCTGTTTGTTAAAAGGAAGTATTATTTGACCAATCAAATGTAGTCCTTCTGATATGCGGCCAATCAGATGGGTCCGTTCACGTAATAGGCCCGCCCCCTACGGGCTGCCCCGCGCTGCTCGGCTGTCTCCATCCGCAGGTCGAGATGTTTATTGCCAGCCACCGCTCTTGTTTTCGGCACCACCACTTCCTCCGCGCGCCGACACCGGAGCGTCGGAGATGGTGCTGCCGAGCGGAGCTTCCCGGGCTGCGCTTACTTTGGGCCGCCATGCCGCCGCCTGGTTCACCCGCTCCAGCACAGACTGTATCCCCAAAATTCCACTATCTCCGCTCCGCCCCCACTTTCCGCTGCCGCTCGCTTCCCTTGTTCGTCATGCTGGCTCAGATTAACGAACGCACTTTGTGCTGAGGTTTCTGGCTCCGGTTAGCTTCCAGCTAAAAGGCTACAGCACTCTCCTCCCAGTCCCACCCTCCTAAAGAGGGCCTGGAAAAGTTCCCCCACACATCAAAGTGATTTTTCATTTATGAGCTTTTATAACCTTGTTAATCAGGATAGTTGATTTGCTGCTGCACATAAACTGTCAGTCAGAAGCTCTGCTAGCCGGTTATCTTAAGAGGAGCTAGTTCGATTTGTTAGCTTGTTATCAGAATCATAGTTGCAGTTTCATCATCTGAGCTGCTTTTTAAGATCTAGGTAAACTTGTTCAATTTGGGGTTAAAAACAAACGTTTTCACATATTTTCCATGTAGTTTTTTTTGCCAGTTCCTCTTCTGAAAGGTAGACAATTGTTTTTCTCTTTCCCTCAGAAAATCTTAATATTCTCCTAGTTTGGCCCAGCACAGTTCACTTCCCAATTACAGCAACAGCCCTATATCATAACCACATAAGTGGAGAATATGTTCAGTAGCAATGAGAGAATTTGCTGTTGCATTTAAGTGATGTTAACTATTATTTAACATTTAAACTTATTTTCTGATTTATTTATTTATTCTAAAACCCTGGTAAGGGATGTTTTTCTGTATTTGGAGCATCAGAAAAAGTTTTATGGTGGTGGTGATGTTTTAAAGTCACTGAGAAACTGCATGCATGCAGTGTGTTGTTTTGCTGCTAATACAGTAGCAGGTGCAGCTGCTAATACAGTAGCAGCTGCTAATACAGTAGCAGGTGCAGCTGCTAATACAGTAGCAGGTGCAGCTGCTAATACAGTAGCGGGTGCAGCTGCTAATACAGTAGCAGGTGCAGCTGCATATTTTTGCAATAAAAATGTTATGTTGTAATGGAATTCATGCATTAGTTTTTGTTTGCTTTGAACCCAGAGCAGACGTCACACGCCAGACAACATCAACACTGCATACTTTAGTATTTGTTCATTTATCGTGAGTAATATTGATATCGCAATATTAAGCAGTGTTATCGATTATCGTAGGGTTTCCTAATATCGTGCAGCCCTAGTTTAAAGTTACTTTTTTCGTAACATACGTGGTGCATTTGACAAGACAGAGCTGAAAACGGCTCGTGCTGCGTCGGTCACTGCCTCCGCTCCGGTCGGTTTTTTTATTTATTTATTATTTTAACTCTCTCTCCCCCTCTCTCTCACACACACACCTCAATCAACATTGTTTTGTTTAACTGTGTGTGGGGAAAATTCCAACAATGTTAGGAAAAAAATCAGTTTAATCAAATTAAAATGGTTCTAGTATTTCATATTTCCTAGTTCCTACTGCACGAGTTCAGATGTATTAATTCATAAACTTAAATATTAATGTTCTGATTTTACTGAAAACTTGTTCTGTATTAGGGTTGTCACGGTGTGAAAATTTTACCTCACGGTTATTGTGACCAAAATTACCACGGTTTTTGGTATTATCGCAGTATTTTTTTAAACGTGTTACACTTTCACACAATTAAATAAACCCTGTATGTCAGGAAATATTGTCCTCAGTTTGTGTCTAAATTTAGCCTAAAATGTGTTATTTTGTAATTATGTTGTTTATTTGTTTACATTTTTTCCCTTTAGTCTTTAAAATACCAATATTTGCCCATAACTTCTTATTTTTTGTCTGTTTGATGTCATCATTTAAAAATATTAGATCAGATGATACTTAGTACTCAAGTAGCCTTCTAATCAGATACTTTTTTTTACCCTTACTTGAGTAATAAACCCTATATCAGGAAAATATTGTCCTCGGTTTGTGTCCTTCCAGTGAGCGTTGCAGATTTGGGAAAATGTCATCAGGCAGTAATCATTGTTAAATTCATAATTATTCTCGGAGAGAGACCAACTCTTATCTGCCCCTGGGAGCCCCGTAATGCATAGCGTCATTTCAACATGGGGGTGTCCGCGACACGGTTTATATGCAGGTAGCGGCGCTGCGGCTGCTTTATATAGCGACTCGTTGCATTCTCCCTCAACCCAAATCCTCGGATCACGCATTTAAGCTAAAACGCTAACGTTAGCTTGCCTTGCGTTGACTGTAGAGTTGTGGGTGATGGTCACGCAGATGTGTCATGAGATTTGAAGCGTTGCTGCCTTTCACAGACACTTTTTCTGCTCGTGCTGCAAACAGGATAGCCGTCTTCTATCAGCTGTCCCTCGGCATTCTTCAAATATCCAAAAGATGCCCGTACTTCCCACTTTGTCTTCTTTGAGGGATGACAAATGTCCTGAGCGCTGCCGTCTCCTCCTTTGGCCGTTATTTCAGCTTTAGCTTCAAGAAAGTTTTGGTTGTAAACAACAAAGCGCGCATGTGCCGCCGGCAACTTCAGCAGATGATACGGTGGCTGGTAAGGGTCACCGCGCCTACACCGCAGCCACGGTAATCCACCAAGATAATGTTTATTTTTAAAAACAAGACGGTTATTATTATTGTCAACTTTTTTACCGGGGTTTACCGCTACACCGGTTACCGTGACAACCCTATTCTGTAATAGTTCCTTTACTATTGTGATCAAAAATATTTAATCTAAATTCTGAGGCTGCTCTGTAAATAGTTTTCAAATAAACAACACACATAGCAACTTCTGATCAATCCTTATCAATTTCACATTTAAAATAATGTATTGATGTAAACCACACCCACTAATTCCCAAATAATAAATAAGAGGTGGATTCATCTGTGTATCTCCTTTGATCCGCATCAGTGATGTTTTCAGCACCAGAACAATGAAGCACAGAAACAGATTCCTGAGTTTATGTTAGTAATTTTATTTATTAGATGCATCTGATCTGTTCTATTTTTCTCTGAAATGAGATCAAATCAGTGCTTCTATGGGTTGTCTCCTCTCTGCACTAGAAACATGTACTTTATTATAATGTTCACTGTAATGCATCTTGATGTTCTTAACAATAAGTTAAATCAAAGATATTGATCAATAATGCCAAATATGTAGATTTGTGTTTCAGTCATTTTTATACTGGCTTAAAAATCCTTCATTAAGTCTACTAAGCAGGGGTGTAGAAGGTGTTTAATAGGGCCAGCCCAGTAATGATCTTGGACCTAAATAAAGGGGGCAGAAGGAGATGTTTTTCCACACGCCAAGAAAATTAAATACCAATGAAGTGGATTGGAGTCCTGGATTCTCTCCGGATGGAGATGGCGAGCCTGTGCCCGAACTGAACTGAATCCCGATCAGGAGAACATCATTCTTCTATACTGAGCCAACATTCCAGTGGTAACCACTCAGACCACTGAACCTGAGTTTTACAAGACCGAGGAGACTTTCTTTTTGACTAGACTACGACCAAATAGAAGACTGACTTTGAGCTCAACCTGACTAGGTTTACTGATATAGGGTGAAATGCCTAATTGTTTAATTATATGTTTATTGCAGCTGCAGTATTTTTGTTCTATTTTCATATTTCTATATAAAATTACAAATCTGGTGCAACTGTGTTCTTTTGCTCATTCTTTGGATCCAGCTATTCCATTTCCCACTCACTGGTAATTTGTAAGGTAATCCTGTTGGACCTAGAGTCTGGCCTATTTATTATTATTTTTTGAATAAGTGGTAACTTAATCTGACGCCAGGGTTACAATAGACTGACAATACAGGTGCTGGCCAGTAAATTAGAATATCATCAAAAGGTTGAAAATATTTCAGTAATTCCATTCAAAACGTGAAACTTGTACATTATATTCATGCAATGCACACAGACCAATGTATTTCCAATGTTTATTACGTTTAATTTTGATATTTATAGGTGACAACCAATGAAAACATCAAATCTGGTATCTCAGACAATTAGAATATTCTAAAGGCCAATGAAAAAATGTTTGTTTCTCTAATGTTGGCCAACTGAAAAGAATGAACATGAAAAGAATGTGCATGTATAGCACTCAATACTTAGTCGGGGCTCCTTTTGCCTCAATAACTGCAGTAATGCGGCGTGGCATGGACTCGATCAGTCTGTGGCACTGCTCAGGTGTTATGAGAGCCCAGGTTGCTCTGATAGTCGTCTTCAGCTCCTCTGCATTGTTGGGTCTAGCGTATTGCATCCTCCGCTTCACAATACCCCATAGATTTTCTATGGGGTTAAGGTCAGGCGAGTTTGCGGGCCAATCAAGGACAGGGATACCATGGTCCTTGAACCAGGTGCTGGTGGTTTTGGCACTGTGTGCAGGTGCCAAGTCCTGTTGAAAGGTGAAGTCTGCATCCCCATAAAGTTGGTCAGCAGCAGGAAGCATGAAGTGCTCTAAAACTTCCTGGTAGACGGCTGCATTGACCCTGGACCTCAGGAAACAGAGTGGGCCAACACCGGCAGATGACATGGCACCCCACACCATCACTGACGGTGGAAACTTTACACTGGACCTCATGCAACGTGGATTCTGTGCTTCTCCGCTCTTCCTCCAGACTCTGGGTCCTTGATTTCCAAAGGAAATGCAGAACTTGCTTTCATCAGAAAACATAACTTTGGACCACTCAGCATCAGTCCAGTCCTTTTTGTCCTTGGCCCAGGCGAGACGCTTCTTGCGCTGTTTCTTGTTCAAGAGTGGCTTGACACACGGAATGCGACACCTGAATCCCATGTCTTTCATGAGTCTCCTCGTGGTGGTTCTTGAAGCGCTGACTCCAGCTGCAGTCCACTCTTTGTGGATCTCCCCCACATTTTTGAATGGGTTTGTCGTCACAATTCTCTGCAGGGTGTGGTTATCCCTAGAGCTTGTACACTTTTTTCTACCACATTTTTTCCGTCCCTTCGCCTGTCTGTTAATGTGCTTGGACACAGAGCTCTGCGAACAGCCAGCTTCTTTAGCAATCACCTTTTGTGTCTTGCCCTCCTTGTGCAAGGTGTCAATGATTGTCTTTTGGACAGCTGTTAAGTCAGAAGTCTTCCCCATGATTGTGGTGCCTTCAAAACAAGACTGAGGGACCTTTTAAAGGCCTTTGCAGGTGTTTTGAGTAAATCAGCTGATTAGAGTGGCAGCAGGTGTCTTCTATATTCAGCCTTTTCAGAATATTCTAATTTTTTGAGATACCAAATTTGGAGTTTTCATTAGTTGTCACTTATGAATATCAAATTTAAATGTAATGAACATTGGAAATACATTGGTCTGTGTGCATTGCATGCATATAATGTACAAGTTTCACGTTTTGAATGGAATTACTGAAATATTTTCAACCTTTTGATGATATTCTAATTTACTGGCCAGCACCTGTATATTCATTCATCCACCAGTACCTGTGTCCATGCTGTCCAGGTCCAGGTGGTGAAGAACACACGATGAATCAGTCCCAGCTGATGGATGATCCTGAAGTGGTAGCAGGTTTTCTTTAGCCGTGTTTAGCTAACAGCTGCAATAGAAACAAAGCAGGAGAGCTGATTAAGATGCTGCTTCAGAACAACGCAGGAGATTAAAGATCCAACGCTTTGGTTCTGGCCAAAGGAACAGCAGCAGATCCAGAGGGCAGGAAGTCTAGAGAAAAGCTTTTCTCACCCACAACCTGATTCTGGAGCTCCGATCGTCACGAAGACCGCAGAATATCTTCTCTGGTTCTGGAAAGAACTCCACCAAGTTGTTGAGGAGAAGAAAGTTTCCACAGCCTGGTGAGAAGATTTCTGCAGCAGCAGCAGTTAGTCGCTTTAGCTGATCAACTCTCCCAGAGACTGAAGTGAAGACATTTTTACTGCAGAACCTCAAATATTCTCCTCACACACCAGAACAACAAGCTAGCTTTGCTAGCAGCTTCCGGTTTCTGCTTCTTCTGGTGGTCAATGACCAGCGTAAAGGTGCACTACCGCTACCTGCTGGAGCAGAATAAAACACACCTGGCTCTCATACATAACTTCCGCTGGTAGTTTTTTAGACAAAATATTTGTCGTAATGTTTTTTGTTCCTCTCTCCAAAAGCACCTGGCTGCAGACCTCCACTGTCAGGCTGCTTCCGGTGGAGGCTCCACTGTCAGGACGGGAAATGCACGGGATACATTACAAAATAAAACGGCAACCATACTTACGTTTGTAATTGATAGGTTTCAGTATAAAATATTGCGTAAAATCATTAATTATTTCTCTATAGCTCATATGTAGCTGTCATTTAACATGCTTACGGCTGTAATTTTTCTAAATGAATTAACGAGTGGCCGGGATAGGTTTCAACATAAAATCCTGAATGCTGTTTCGGTTGAATCGCTCTCCTCACAAACGCTCCCTCTTCACCAAAAAGATAAGTGACTCAGTCAGCGAATACAATTTGTGTACTTGTACCAAAAATTTTGAATAGGTGAAGGAGTCGTATTGTATCTGTGAAACAGGATTTTTCTAGATTTGTCTCATTGATTTCAAGCTCACAGTGACGAAACACAAATCTATTTGCACCATATATTGTTGATCAACTGGGGCAAAAGTGTAACTGTAGCAATTTTTTGACGTGTGACTCAACTAATGCAATTTTTCTACTTTTACCAAAGATTTTGATCAAGTGCAGCTGTTGTTTTGTATCTGTGAAAGATAAAAATTTTCTCTGTGATTTCAAGTTCCCAGATTCGAGACACAAATATTTTTGTACCATATCTTTTGGATAAACTGGGGCAAAACTGTAACTGTAGGATATTTTGCAAATTTGAGTACTTGTACCTATGATTTTGAGTAAGTGTAGCTGTTGTTTTCTACCTGTGATAACAAGACAAATGTTATTGCACCACATTTACCTTAAAGACAGAAAGAAAACAATTTTTCATATAGTGCCTGTCAAGATAAAAATCTCGAGGCGCTTTGCTGCTAAATGAAATATCTGGGACCTTCTTGGCACATCATCCTAAAATTATTCAAATGTTTTATTTATTTATTTAATCCCTCGATTCTAAATGACACTTCTGGAAATAGATGGGCATGACTTTGGGCTCCCTTTGTAGCGGTCACACATTATAGCGTGACGACTGCAAATTAATTATGACCAATAAGATGTGATGATTCCATATAAATATGAAATATAAACCCGATTGATCTTTGAATGTTTAATCAGAAGATTCTAGTTACTTTTACTTGTTCAGGGATCATGAACACACTTTGTATTAATTCAGACAGAGTCAGGTATTTAGTTAAAAAGGAATTTTATTTTTTTCTAAACTAATGATTATACATGACAAGATATGAATAATGAGCAAAAAAAAAACAATGGCACAGAAATGTGATCTCACCCCATGTGAGGTGATGGAATGAAGTCGGGTGGACCTCACGGCACCGGGATTTCATAGATTAACTCCGATACGACCCGTCCAGTCTTGAGATGTCTCCAGCAGGTTGCATCATCCTCATACTAAGCAAGCATGTAGCGACAGTGGAGAGGAAAACTCCCTTTTAACAGGAAGAAACCTCCAGAGGATCCTGGAGAAGACAGAGCAGACACACACACAACATACAGTATACATACCAAGTAGTGTTTCTTCACTGTTGGATCCTGCGCTGCCTGACCAGCCAATGCTTGTGCAAAGAGAGGAGGACAAGAGGACGTACAATGCACAGAACTACAACAGACGCCATCGGGCAAAGCTGCTAAGTGAAGTGTTGCGTGATGATCGGGTGTGCGTGACAGATGTGAAGACACCAGGTATTCTGAACCAAAAACATTACTCACTCAGGTCTTTTAGGGTGGACTTGCCACAGGGACTCGTTTGCATTTGATTCCTTTGCCCTTACCTGAGTTATCTTGCCTCAGCTGATGTTGTTTGGTTGCTGCCAGTGGACACGTCAGGACTGTGGGGTGTGTTAGTGTGTGGGAGAGGGGAGTGTGAATACAAGGTTTAGCTTCAGTTCACGGCACACAGTTGTCCCGTGTCTTCTAGTTCAAGTAGAACACAACAGAGGAGGCCGGATCCCTGCCATGTCTCACTGTTGGCTCCATTACTGTTTTAAGGGTTTTAGTCCAGACGTTTTAATAGGTGAAAGCAAGAGTACTTGTAGGCTTTTAAAACAGACGAGGGACCCGAGTGCTGGCTCCCTCTTAGCTCCGTATGGTCAGTGGACCTTTGTGTTGGAATGTTTGAGAGCTTTTGAGATGTGTTTTAATTGAGAATCCCCATTGTAAACATGTAACCACGAGCCTTTTTAACACTGTTATTTATTGAACTTTTAGAATTGGAGCTTTGTTTTTTAAAATCTGTATTTATAATTAAAACTGTTTGAATTTCACAAACCTGCACATGCCTCTGTGTTATGTGTCCTTCATGTGTACCAACCACTGGTCGTAACAGCGTGTGATAAACTAGTCACAATGAAATGAAAAACTAAAAGTCTTTTTGAAGAATCACCGATTATTTCATGACACACTGCTCAATCATTTCACCACTTGTAATGCAATATTCATAATAATTATATTTAGGCTTTTCCCTAAAGGTCAGTGTGGGATTTTCTGCTGAAATCCGTCTGAATCAACTGAAATCCGCCAACAAGATATCAGAGAGGCAGGCACCGGAAATTAAATCAGGAATACAAGACATTCTTGATTACCATCCAGTGAAAACTTTGGCGCGGTATGGGGGCCAAAATTAAGCCTACTGCCCAGCAGCAGGAGGCTATATAAATTCTGAAGCAAACTACCGACCTGATTAATGATAAGCTGGCACCGGTAACTGAGAGGCTGGCGCTGCTTACTGAGAAATAGCACCTTTACCGGTGTTACTACTAGATACGCTAGGGACTAGCAGCCCTCGGCTGGTCATTGACTGGTTCACACACTCCCTCTGCTGTCTATTAGCATGGATAGGCTAGCGTTAGCCTGGACGGGCTGGTGCTAGCATTGGAGAGGCTAGTCATTAGCGTGCCTAGGCTGGCCACTAGCTGAATTTCCTACCTCCTCGATGGACCATTAGCATGGATAGGCTGGCATTAGCATCGGAGAGGCTAGCCATATACACTTTAACTTTAAGCATATTGTAAAGCCGACAGCCTGTTAGCATTGATTAGGTGCTGCGTAAACTCCATTTTGCTCTTAATTACAGGTTGATGGCATTTTCTTTTTATATAGTTTGGTTTTCTTGCACATATCAGAGAAAAAGCCAGAGCTAACTAGTTAGTACTTTTCATCTTTGGATTTTAAATCCTTTGTATTGAATTACAGGTTAATGATTATTTAAATTGTGATGTTATCTTTATTAAAACTATATAATATGTACAAAAAACCACACATCTAATAGAGTAAGTGACTCTCCGAGACATGCTAATGGCTAGCCTCTCCGAAGCTAACGCCAGCCTATCCATGCTAAAGGTCCATCGAGGAGGTAAGAAATCCAGCTAGGGGCCAGCCTAGGCATGCTAATGGCTAGCCTCTCCAATGCTAACACCAGCCCGTCCAGGCTAACGCTAGCCTATCCATGCTAATAGACAGCAGAGGGAGTGTTTGAACCAGTCAATGACCAGCCGAGGGCTGCTAGTCCCTAGCGTATCTAGTAGTAACACCGGTAAAGGTGCTATTTCTCAGTAAGCAGCGCCAGCCTCTCAGTTACCGGCGCCAGCTTATCATTAATCAGGTTGGTAGTTTGCTTCAGAATTTATATAGCCTCCTGCTGCTGGGCAGTAGTCTTAATTTTGGCCCCCATACCGCGCCATAGCAAACTGCGGTAGATTACCCACACCATCATACTGGCCGCAGGGTTTAAAGTGTGGGGGGAAAAAAATGGCGATTTTAACCCCACGTGTTAGTGATGGTGTTACTAATTTTAGCGTTAGTGTTAAAGGGTTAAGAGTCTGTTCTCCTGGTTCTGACTGAAGATGCTGATCTATTGTAAAGCAGCGTGTTGAGCCTGAAAGGTTTTGATGAGAAGAATGACACCAATTCTTGCTTTTGCCATCATTTATTAAAAATTATCTTTTAAAAGTGATCTGAACACAACAAAGTTTATCTGATGCATTTATTTACTGATGACATCATCCAGGGCAGGCCTAAGCCTTTGTGGGGCCCTAAGCAGGGTTTCTATTGGGGCCCCCCATACCAACAAGTCAACACCATTCCTAGGCTACACCATTTGTGTAATGTGACCACCATCGTTAGCATCTTTCGTAATTAGCTCACACATCATTAATTATTATTGTGGATGTTGATTTTAGCTTTACTGGAGCAAAAAAAATAAATAAATAAAATAAAACCTGCTAATTTTTAGTTTAAATGTGGTACTGTAAATCCTCTAATACAGGCCTGGGCCTGTATTTTACTCAAGCTCATCAAGCTCTAGGCTTTTATTGGAAGGAGGGCCAGAATTAGAGGCGGGCCTCAATTTCTATTTTGAGCAAAATGAACTAATGGTTCGCTGGAGTTTTTGACAATTAAAATTGCGCCCACATTTTCAAAGTTAAACACATTTCTTTTAATAACAGCAGTTTCTGCTTCAGCCATCTCCCCCCTCCCCCTGCGCAGCGGCCACAAACTCACTGATGCGCCTGCAGCCTCTCAGAGTTCCTGCTGCTATAAACATTAAAATAATTATTTCATTTTCTGTTCCTCACTTCTGATTACCTTCAATGGTGTCTGTTTGTTGCAACCACCAGGTACAAAAACTAACTTGTTTTTATTTGACTATTTTTCTGTCCTGTCTGTTTATTATCTTCCTGCATCTCCTCTCAATCCTAAAGAAAAACTGCTACCTGGGTTCATATATATTCACCTTATGAGTTACCTTTGAACTGCAGTTCTAAAAGATCTACCGACCGCAAAAACAGCGGAGTGCTCCCGGCCACATCAGTTAGTTGCGTCACCGAGGACAAAACAGGTGATGTGCCCCGCTCCACAGCAGCGAAAAGCATCAGGCACAGATAAAAGAATTAAAGACAGAAAACATAAAAGAAAATGAGCCGATATAAACGATCGCCTTTTAAATTAGTTTTTGAGGTGGCGACACCTGATTTGATAATGTTACTGTGGCCGTGCTCAGGACGCAGATGTCTGGAGCACGTCAACAATCAGAGCTTTGCATGTGCAAGCTGGTTAAGGTTAGGATGGGTGTTAAGTTCCTCTGTTAGGTGACACAATCCCCACTTAACAGGGATCATCTACTGGAGAAATACGCAGGATTCCACTCAGGACTTCATGGCTTCACTTTTCATTTTCCTTTATTTCACTTCCGTTTCATATTATCCAAGACGGAAATAGGGGATGACGAAGCACGAAGCAAGGCAAAGCCTACGAGCAGGTGAAAAACCTTAAACAAAAACATTGTGTGTGCTAAGAAACAGTGTAAATTGTGTAACATTTCATTATAAACAGCCATTCATAAAATGTGTGATTTCAATGTGATATTCATTCATAAATGTTAGCACGAATATATATATATATATATCATTAATTCATTCGGATATATCATTAATTCATTCGGACCCAAACTCACTTAAATTCATCACTTCAGCTATTTGTTTCACTCTTACATAACAACATCAAATAATGAGCAGGTTTGAAGTAACTTATTAACAATCAAACATCAAACTGACTTCTAAACACCCGACACAAACATTTATGATGCGCACCGGAGACCACAGCTCCGAGCTGCGCTTAACATCACACATCAGCTGATCGGCATGCGCACACGCGTTACAAATCTGCGTCTTACCGGCTGCCTTTCCAGTCTTTAGATGAGTGTCATTTACCGCTTCGGAGGATCACCACGTTAGTGCTTCCTCTAGGAACTTTCACAAACAGTTCTCTCTCCTGACATGTCCTACATAAAACATTTCAGGCAGGAAATGCGCGGTGACGTTCTGAGACGTGGAGCGACGCGCGCACTGACCTTAATTAGTTCCAGCTGTTTCATCTACCACCTACCCCGTGTGTCTTATTTATTAGGGTTCCAAGCCCAAAGGGCAGGGAACCCTATTGTTTTTTTTTCTTTATTTTTACATATTTTTTCCATTCTTTTTTATATTTTTATTTTAGTTTTTATTTCAATCTAAATATGCTGTATGATCATGATTTTGACCGCACACCTCCCACTCGATATTTGTGTGGAATCACAAGAAATATCGCAAGTCATGAAAAGGTCAAGAACATCTCATTTCTGTTCCTCAATAGGCAATAAGACAACCAAGCGTCTAACATCTCTGTGTAAGATAACAGTTCTGTCTTTGCCTCCACCCAGACATGATCGGTCTCGCCGTCCGTGTCCATCTTTTGTTTTCACACCAGGTGCACAGTAACTTGGTGTAACTTTAATGTCAACATCTCTCACAATGCCTTCACTGTCCGGGTTGACCCCAACTACCTTACCCAACCTGTACTGCCCCCTTAAAGCATTCTGATCACTTAGCCACACAATGTCACCAAGGGCGACATTCCTCTGGGCAGTGTGCCACTTGCTCCGGATAAATAAATTAGGACCTGCAAGTTGGCTCCATGCTCTCCAGAACTTGTCCACCTCCGTCTGGATGGCTCGGAGTCTTTTGTACGGGTAACTGGTAAAGTCAAAGGTCTCTGAGTCTCCTCGATGAGACGCTCGCCCAAGCAGGAGGGTGTTCGGTGTAATGTAGTGAATGCAGTCTTCACGGCTCTGGGTCCTGGCATCAATTGGCCTTTCATTCACAAGATTGGCTGCTGTATAAAGGGCTGTCTGAAACTCACTGTATGTTAGTGAAGATCCCTTTCCAAGATTTTGCAGTGCTCTTTTCATCACGCGTACAGCAGCTTCAGCAGCGCCATTTCTGTGTGGAGAATCCGCTGGATGAAGCTTCCACACCCATTCAGTTCCGTTCTTGGCAGAAAGATCCTCCAAACCTGCTTTGTCCTGATTGTCGAGGAATTTATACATCTCCTCCAAAACCGGCTTAGCTCCAATGAAATTGGTACCAGGATCTGACCAGATCTTTCGTGGATGTCCTCTTATTGCAGTAAATCGCTGGTAGGCTGTTAGAAAACCCTCTGCTGACGGGTCGTTTGCGATATCAGCATAGATGGCTCTGCTGACCATGCAGCAAAACACGATTCCCCAAACTTTCTTCGTCACTCTCTTCTTAACATCATCCCTCATGTGGTAGGGACCGAATAGATCCACTGATGTGAACTTGAAGGGAGGGGCAGGTTCTGTCCTTTCAGGTGGCAAGCAACCCATGATTTGTTGACATCTCCGTGCCCTGGCCTTTCTGCAGATCAAACAGTCATCAACGATCCGCTTGGCGATCCTCCTCCCTTTTATGACCCAAGCCTTGGATCTCATCCTTAGCAAAGTTCCAGCCACCCCTTCATGATT